CTGGTTGTTTGGCTGTGTTTTTTTGCAATCTTCATTTTACAATCGTGATTTTGTATTTTTGAATTTTTTTTAACTTTGTTTTGTGTTTGATTTTTAAGATCTTTATTAAAGGTAAGGTCTAAGTTAAAGGTCTTTGATTTATCGAACAATTTTACTTAATAATCCGAGAAAGTGAAGTGAGGTAACCTAACCAAGTCCAAATATTCGTGAATTTTATTTTTTAACAATGTAAATATTTACAACGCCATATATTTTTACAAAAAAAAATTGATCAACTCCATATCTTTGTACATAAACTCCACAATGTGATATTACACAATTGTTCAAGTCCATATGTAAAAAATACACGTAAATAAAACATTGTTTCTAATGGTTTACTAGTGCGACAGGGATTGACATTAATTATGGCTCGAATTGATGACCAGGTCGCACCCTACAGCTGCTACTTAACCAAACCAAATGGATACCTCGCACTAACGTCCGGGCCATCCGATGCCGCTAATTCAGTAGACTGCAATTGGGAATATTATAATTTTCTGCCGCTTGTCGGTTTTCTTCCAAATTAATAATTTTTCAGATGAAATAACTCAAAAGCAATGCACAATATTTTATTTTCTATAAGATATAGTGTTTTAGTGTAGTTTTTGCACACGTGCAGAAACTAAAGAAATAGTATACAGACTGGATCAAAGGAAAACTTAAATCTAGTCCCTTTTTTCTTAGGTCGATTCTATTAAAAATTCAAACATTTTTATAAGGACATACTCAATTATGGTTGCATGAAACCTAAGCTTATTATGGGCATTCTCTTAAGTTTTGATATGTTAAAAAATAAAAAATCATAAAAGTTTTCCTTCAACCACTTGTTTTTTTATTAAATTATTATTTTTAGTTGTGTTGTAGTCATGTGTACAAGGAGGACAACTGTATTTAAAATATTATACCGTCATAATCGAATAAAATGGCGTCAGCGATGGCTATGAAATGAAGATCGCTATCATTTTATATGTAAATTGTATTGGAAATGTCATCGATCGTCATTTCCAAACCAACTGACGCCATTTTTTCGAACATATGGTATTTAATTTAACGTTTTTCAAACAGGGTTCATTAGACTATATTTATACTAGTTACATTATTTAAAAAAAATAAGAGTAAAAGTAACTTAAACATTCATAAAAAATAGAAATATTTACTGTTGTAGATTCTCAGTAACAATAAAAGGGGAATTCGTGCGCGCTCGGTTCGTTCGGGCTAAAATGCCAAAGTCTGACGCGCCTTTAGGAACAATACTGTTTTTGTCCTTTATTGATATAATGCTGAAAATCTCACGAATTACATGTCTCACTCTACACATATTAAATTACATAGACGTAGGATATAGAATATTCTATTATGAAACGACTGATAGCAGGCATCGCGGATTTGAAAAACATGGAAATAACGACATTATCGTGTAGTCGGGGTTGGAGATTTTACTTACTCCATTTACCACACCAGTATTTATTAACGAAAAATCCAAGAATATTTTAAATGCATTATTTAATATTAGAACATTTAATAAGCTCATGAATAGCAACTTCGCTTTTTAGTTAAATCGGATATTTTAACATTTCTGAAACTTAATTCTTTCTGAAACAATATTTTCTAATTGGTAAAACGTAAAAAATCGTTAGATCTGACAACACTGTTGAAACTGGTCGTTCATCTGGCCGCAGCTATAAACGCAATACATCCGGCCAGCCGATGGCCAGGTCCTTGCGACCTGGTCATCAGTGAGTTAGAGCCCTTAGATATAATATTCCGATGAGTAGTGAACGAAAAGATAAAGCTCCGCGGTAGAATAAATTAGATGAAAGATGACATCACGCGTGGATTATGCGTAACTTGCTAAAAATGCTATACCAGTCCAGTCTTTTAAGTGACGAACATATTTTTCCCAACAATTATTCCATTACTAAATATACAAGGAAATAAAAAAAAACACAGCTGGTGCATTGCCGCTCACAGTTGTGCCGATAAGGCCCAAACTTGAGATAAGATCTTAAAAGCCCTTTCGTTACCGAGAAGCCTTCTCCAATTTCACTTTTAAATAAATTCAGAGACAATTACTTAAAACTCCCGATATACATACAGGTCCGATTGCATATCAAAGCAAAAAAGAGTAGCAGATACACAGTAAGAGAAAAAGAGAAACAGACAGAGATATTGTCAAATTTAAATTCGAAATCCCCCAGCTTGACTGTGTAGGGGTGGCGAAAATGGGGTGAGGGAGGGGGTGTTCGAAAAGGGGTCGAAATCGTGAAAGGGATCGAGATCTGTTTGACGATAAGATGATTGGGGCTCGTGTTTTACATTGTTATTCATGGACTGGGACGCTGGAGCGGGCCCAGCACGGTAAACAGATCCGGTTACAGGGGCGGATTTAGGGAGGGTGCGGGAGGTTGAGGGGGGTGAGCCTGGCTAATTGAGATGTTTCTTTTTAATGCTTTTATTGATTCGTTTAGATAAGTATTATTCAGCCATATTACGAATTAAATATGCAGTTGAAGAAGATTAATATTGTTAAGGTCAAGGTGTATTACTGGTTGCATAACCGCAACGGTGCATTGAGGAACCTGGCGAATTCGACAGAAAGTAAAAGAAAATTACAGAATTCTTTAGAAAATTCCAGAGACCATCGCCAGTAGGTATATAAGGCCCGCGCTTTGACATTTGGAGCAGTCTGAAGATAGTCTGAAGTTTGAAGTTTGCTAATACCGCGAAATACCGTTAGAGTAATAGTAGTTGCATAAATTGTGTTGTAAATAGTATAAGTTGTGTGTGCAGAGTGAGACAAATAAATTCGTTAAGTATTTTATCGTGAGTTTAAATAGTGGACCCACGAAATCCGTAACAACATCATTGGTCTGCAAAAAAATCTCGAGCCTTGGCACCATCTTGAGATTCTTATTCGAACCTCCTTAGTCCCAACATTTCTAAAACTAAAGCTTTGTCGTATAAAAACTCGCTGCAATTGTTGAGAAAAAAAAATATTTAAAATTTTTGGACGAAAAAAACTACCTGTCAAAAAAAAATTAAATAAATGATCAATTAAATGGATATTTGAGGTGAATTTGCATTGTGAGACCTGGTTGAGTAAGCCCCAGAAATAAGCGATTTTTCACACTGATTGTCATTTCGCAGCCATCTTTCACGGCGTTTTTTTTCTAGAACATACGGTATATTACTACTTATAAAACAAATATCGTCAAATCAATTTCAGCCAATCATCAACCTAATCCAAGCGTATTGAAATATCGAAAGAAAGTATTAGATTTAATCCACCACACACGAGTCGACGATATCACATTGGCATTAATTTAATACGATGATTGAGATTTAATGAGAGCACGAAACGATAAAAAAATCCATTACCGACAAACGGGGCCGTCATTAGTATTATTGGAGCCCATTTTTTCTAATATTATTATTATTTTGATACGGATTAATTTCGGAATTCTCCGATAACGATTATTAATTTTGTATTAGGGTCCGGGCTAGCTACCGGATTGCTTGAATTAATTAGCTGTCGGTTAAAACAGAAGCCGTGTCAGATACAAATTTATAATCAAAACAGTAATGCTTTTTATTTAAGTATGGCAGTGGCGTACCAATCTTTATTGATCTTTTTTTTTTTTACGATTTTCATGAGAGTTACCGTTACCGTAAGTACCTACTTAACTACTTTTTCTGCCTGTTTACTATAGAAGGCAAAACAGGTAAAGAAACATGAAAGAAGTTGGAAATGTGTTTTAATTTGTAGTTTGCTAAGTTGTATGATGATATAACTTCCATTTATTTTACTCCTGTATCAGAAATAATTACTACAGGCTAATTAATTTACATTTTTTACCTCGTGTATTTGTCTCATAAAACTTCCGATTTAAATTAAAAAATAAAATTGTAAATCATATTATTGCGGTCTGGTCGACTCTACGGACAGTGGATTTTTAAGAAACAAAATTCTAATATACTTAGTTTTTTATAGTAAAACTTATTATACTCAACTACTATTAAGACATAAAAACTCTGGCTTTTAATAATAAAAAGTCTATTATCTGATCAGTTGGTTGTTTTTTTAGTAAATATTATAAAAACTCTTCATTCGTCAACTAATCTTACTTTTATAATTTTTAAACTGATTTTTTTTGAAACAGTTTTGTCTCTTGACATTTATGCTTTTAACAAGTGACAATATAAAAAAATATTACCCTCTGAAATGGTACTCCTTTGTGAGAACTTAAAATATGATAAAAATATAAAAAATACATTCTTAAATTTTTATAAAAGGCAACAATGCATTCGAGAAAAAAACGAAGTCTGACAACGTCTATTACTCCTGTTAAAGGTCCGAGGCAGTCCGAGGTCACGGCGGCATTTACCAGCAAGATGAAATAAGAGCCACATCTGATATAATCTGTGGCAGCAATGTTTACAAAAAAATAATTATTTTATTTTGTAGATTTTCTTACAGTGACTAAATACCCATAGGACTTTTTTGGAGAGAGGAACATAGAACTAGAGTGAATAGGACTAAGCTCTCTGTTCATAATATTTTTACCTTTAATATTATTGATGCTCTATATGCATTTAGTTGTGTGTTATTGGGGACATGTTTAATTCATTTTAAATTATTGACATGAATATCTTTATCAGAAATGTAGTTCAAGACAAGATTAATGTTTCTCTGTGTATCTACCATATCTTAATTCAGCCATATTGTCTTTAATCTTTTTTTTTGAGAGGGAAAATTTTTTGGAAAAACACCGGCTTCATGTCTGACGGCAGTACTGGACTGTAGAAGTAAGCCTGAAAACAACCATGTCCAGTGAGTAGATGAGCGAGGTGGTAGTTAACCTCACAATGTTTTCTGTCAATCAACACCATTATGTTTGGTATGAAATGTTTAGTCCACTGAGCCACTTCACGCATGGCCTCCCACCTATTTTGCCAACTGTTCAGCGTCTTTTGTCTGCTCCTATTCCCATGGCCCCTTCTTCCACCTGTAGTTCGATTGGAGCTATTCCTGCAATAACCAGTACAGCCTCAGTAGATACAGTATGGAAAGCACAGCACACCCTGATAGCCATTCTTCTCAATACATGTTGGCACATGTCCCTATATTTGCGATAGCGCATAGCTCCACCCCGCACCAGTGCAGCGTAGAGCAACGTGGAAATTGCAACATTTGCAAGTAGTCTGTGTTTGCTCGATGAAGGTACTCTTTTGTTCGACATTAACCAACACAGTGATGTGACGGTCTTCTTCGCCTTTCTAGTAACATATTCGACATGTACATAGTACATGTAATACATTCTAGTCCCTCGGTCGAAAACAACACCAAGATATCTGATGGTCTCCCTGGTACTGATTTCCATATTTAGAACATCAACCCCAGCATGTCTAACCGCACTCCTGTCTGTGAGCAGTATTGCCTCACATTTCTCAAGTGCCAGTTCTAACCGTTTCTGCCTGGTCCACTCTGCTATCCTATTGATGGCAATTTGCCTTGATTGTCACTATGGTCTCCGTTGCAACTGTAACCACCACCGCGAGGTCGTCCGCGAAAACCATATTGTCTTAGTAGTTACTAACACACTAGTTACGTAAGTAAGTAAGTAGTCTATAATCTGAAAATGTTAATTAACCATCTTACCGTTCCAGACAATATTAGCATTTTTAATAACCAATATCATATTATCATATAATTTAGGCTAATAGTAAGTGAAAAATAATTATTAATGGTAAAAATATTAATAGTTAATTTCTTATACCACAATAGTGACAAAAATTACTTAAACTATCTCGAGTCATGTAGAATGTAGAATGTTTAGGAGGGGAGTTAATCAAGATTTTATAGATCTATTGTGTGTTCCCCTTTCTTGAGTTATAACGAGTTATAACTCATCACACAGTCTCAGGACTTTAACAAAAGTCAGTATCTGAGACGGCTCCACAGAGGCCAGCTCTCCATCCTTAACATCAGGCGTACCAAGGTTCAGGGCACGAATGGTCATCGCCTCGGTGCACTCAGTGATAAGGTGTTCTGGTGTTTCCCCATTTTCCCCACAAAATCTGCATTCGCCGTTGTTTCTCAGTTTCAGCCTACTGACGTGTTCGTTGAGGAGACAGTGTTCTGTTAGAAACCCCGTGACAATCCGAAGATTGTTTTTACTTAAATCAAGGAAAACCTTTGATTTTTCTCGGTCATAAGTTCTGAGGAACTTTTTCGAGTGTCTTAGACCGTTGGAGGACACCCATTCCAAGTTACGGATGGAGTCTTCCAGATTCTTCAGTTCCGCTTTCAGTTGGTTCCCGTTTGGAAAACAGAACGGTTCTGGTCCAGTTAGTGGAGTGTTCGCTTCTTTTCTAGCTAGATCATTTGCTTTTTCATTGCCTTCTATCCCTTGGTGAGCAGGCACCCAGAGTAGGAGGACTTTATTTTCTTTGCCTAATTTGTTGAGCTTCTCTAGGCATTCTTTGACCAACTTCTAATTGATGGTTACTGAGTTTATCGCGTTAAGTGCTGCTTGACTATCGGATAGGATGGCAATTTCCTGTTTTCGATAGTTCCTGTCTAAGATAAATTGTACGCATCTTTCGATAGCGCAAATTTCTGCCTGAAGGATACTGGGGTAGGTGCCCATTGGTTCGGAGTATTTAGTTTTCGGCCCAAATACTCCTATCCCTGTCCCTGCTTTGGTTTTGGAAGCATCAGTATACCACGTGATGGTATGGTCTATTATATGCTGAGTAAGCGTTTCTTTCTTCTAATCCTTTTTATTACTCAATACTACTGTGAGGTGTTTCTCAAAGTTGTAAATTCTTGGTATGTCATCCACTGGGAGTTGGAGAAATGGAATTTTCTTTTTGAGGGTGTTCCAAGCCCCTGACCTGAAAATTCTCCCAGTACTGTTTCCGTCAATGACCATTCTAATCATTGTCGCATTGGCATAACTACCGACGACAATATGCAGTGGTGTTAGGTCTAGAATGACCTCCATTGCTGCTGTTGGACACGTTCTCATGGCACCTGTGATGCAGATACATGCCAGTCTCTGTACTTTGCACAAGTTTTACCTTGCTGTACGTTGCTCTAGTTTTGTATACCAAGCAACTGCTCCATAAGTAATCATGGGTCTTACTATCATGGTATACATCCAGCGCATCCAAGCTTCTTTAGAAGGGCAGGAAAAATCCCATCTATTCCTGCTGTTTTATAAGGCTGAAAGGTGTCAATAGCCCATTTCAGTTTTTGTTCTGTTATTACTAGCTTGGCCGTCTCCCAGTCTTCCCTGCGAGGATTGTGGGGTTCGGTTGGAGCTACTTGCGTATCAATAAATATGCTACCTGGAAAGTGTGTAAGAAGTAGGAGATTAGCTCTCTCTTCATCTCCTTCCGTGTAGCTTCCGTCAGGTTTCTTAAGTGCCATGTTGGGGATGGGCCCACTCTTGGCCATAGCTTTGTGTAGCCTTTTTCGCAAAAGCATCTGAAGTCAGACCGCTTTGCCCTTCTAATCTCCTTATTATACACAATTAATCAATTAATTTCTCGGCGTAGAGCTGCCACCGTGACTCAATTTGTGTTTGTGTATGACCGTGAGTCATACACAAACACAAATTCAAAAATTTACTCTATTTACTCCTTAAGGAATTCTCCAACGGTCTAAGAAACTCAAATAAATTTCTCAGAATTTAAGTCCGAGAAAAATCAAAGCTTTTCCTTAATTGAAGTAAGAATAATCTTTGGCCTGCCGCGGGGTTTTAAACAGGGCACTGATGTCTCCTCAATGAACATCTAAATAGATTGAAGCTAAGAAACAACAACGAATGCAGATTTTGTGGCGAAAATGACGTAATACCAGAACACCTTATCACTGAGTGCACCGAGACGACAACCATTCCATAAACTTTTGTACGACTGATATCGGAGATGGAGAACTAACCTCTGTAAAACTGTCTCAGATACTGGCTTTTGTAAAAACTCTGATACTATTTGACTCAAGAAGGGGGGATAGATCTATAAGGTCGCGGTGATTAACTATCCCCCTGCAAACAATCTACAAATCTGAATTCAATTTAAATTCATATACTTATTTATTGAAAACAGTAACATCAATTAAGAATGATTAAATAAGTTAGAATTTCTTATTAGTTTGAATTATTTATTGCGAAAAAATAATTCCTTGAAAACGACATGAGACGGTAGATTAAACCCGTAATGAGATCAAAGCGACGTGATTATTAAAATACGATAGTGAACTATGGATAGAAGGAAACCCATTAATTTAAAGACATTTATACCTGCGAATAGTTTAAGCACGCCTCTGGTCACCCACTCGTCGGCCTTTCGAAACCTAACCATCACCTGCTTATCTTAAAAGGGTTTTAATATTTCGTATTAAATATGAGACGAAATATTTCGAAAGAAAGCGCATTATTTGATAACGCTCTGTATATCTTAAAAGCCAACGAGGTGCTTTATTAATACGTCGGTCGGATTATGTATGGTTAAAGAAATGTTGTTCCTCCACGTTGCGTCAAGTTGAATAAAATTATGATGACCCAATCGTAAGACAGCTTCGATTTATCTGTTTTTGTTTGAAAAATGAACTAAATAATATTAAAGGTTGATTCTCACTATACCTTCCGTTTCCATTCTGTATCCATTCCGTATTTTTTATTACACTATACATAAGCTTCCGTTCCGTATCAGTTTCATACTTTTTATTGTATAATTTATATCATTACAAAAGTTTTATTTCAAAAATTTGTATCTTATGAAAAGAATAATAGATTTAATAAAAAGATGAAAGAATAAATAAATATCAGCAAAATGTTGACAGAGCTGGTACAAATGTAAGAACTTGACAACGCTGTTTCCGATAGGTTTCAGTCCGTCCGCCAAAAAAATGTATGGAAGGAAAGGATATGGAACGGATAGTGTGCATTGTCCTATTCATTTACATGATATACTATTTTATGTAAACGGAAGGGAAACGGAAGATAGCTGATACGGAAGGTATAGTGAGAATCAACCTTAAAACGGATTTGTATGAGAGTACCAAGATACTAAGAAATAGCGATGTGTCGCTATTTGAGTAACGCGATTTCGGAGCGGTATTTTTTTGTAACGTCGTGTCGCGCTCCATAACGAGTCAGGAATCTGTTACTGAAGAACGACGATCATGGTAACGACAAAACTATAAATTATTTATAATTGGCAAACAAATTATTTATAATCGCTCTTGGAGTTAGCTCGAACCGCAGTAACCGCATAGCGCCGTGTTTAGCTCTAGCCGTCGCGTCACGCTCCTAGGGTCGCGATTTCGTCGGTCGCGAACAGTAGTAACTGGAACTAGTAAGTGCGTAGCGTCGCGCGATCTCGACCATTTCGTCTGTCGCGAAGAGATGTAACTGGAACTGAAACTGGTAACGACCTGCAAGCTAACGCTCCAGTGCCAGTAGTCGCGCGACTGCTGGAGCGCTTTTAGGGTCTAGTTTTTGTCGGTCGTGAACAGTAGTAACTGGAACTGGTAAGTACGTAGCGTCGCGTTTTCATCAGTCGCTGTACTAGTAATGTTTGATTGATAATAAATACACGTTAGGTACATTACATAGTTACAGGAAACACTTTTACAAAAATAAGAAAAAACAAAGAAGAAACATGATCAAAAAACAGGAAATTTGTAAAGCTACTTTCAAATTGGTTAAAAATATAATCCCAATTAGAGTTATAATCTGCAATGAAAGCGAATTACATTTTACTAACATACGGGAATAAAGTAAGACTTTATTTTGATATTTTATCTTGATTATTTGACATGAATATTTTACATCTGACTTTTCCACCGATAAGGAATATACGTAGATAAAAACATACACATATATAAATAAATTTAGCATATGGCGTAGGTATAAGGAATAATGATTCAATTATGTTACTTGAAATTAGGAATAGCCAGTTTAATTTAAAACTGGCTAAATTTTAAATTAAACTGGCTATTCCTCGAAGGTTACACAAGAATATTTAGTTTTAATCATTGTCTAACATTATTAATTACAATATAGTAAAAACATTTAAAACAGTGACTAACTAGCGGTCTACTATTTATCGGCTTATAATCCACGGTATTGCGCCTCATGAACAAAATATGCACAGAATTATTTAAAAATCGTCTAATTATTTATTATTTCTGGTTATGGTAAAGTAACATTTATACTGTAGTCTGTAGCAAAGTTTAGTTTACGAAGTTGGTTTTGTTTTTCTAGTTTTAATTGTCTAAATCCCTGCATAATAAATACTAGTTGAACGGATTTATATCAAACCATCCTGGGTGCTAATAAAACTATCGTTTGCAGATTTTTCTTAAGAACAA